TTATCATTCTGTAATGAGTTCAAAATCAACATGGATTTGTTTCTGTAATGTCAAGTTAAAAATGCATTTTAATGACCTTCAGAAATAAAGTGGTTTACGTCTTGCAAACAATTGTAAGTCAGAGTATATGTGTTAAATTTGAGTCACATTAATTTTAAAAGAATCTATTTTGTCAAATCAATCCTATTTTACTGATTGGTTTTTTTCTGCGAGTAATGTACCTACAAATTTTGATACAACAAAATAGACAGAGTAATTTTTGTTGCATTACCAATTTGTATAACTTTTGTCATGGAAACAAGTTCAAAACCAAAGATTTGTGTCTGTAATAATATAAAGGATGTACTTAAAACAAGTAAAAACACTGGGGCTGGACATTTCCCGAGACACATTTTGTGTAAGCGCCGGATAACGTTTTTATTGTTAACAAGCCGAAGCCAGCCACGACGAACAACGATGATATCTCCTCGTATGAATGATGACTTCGTGCTGAGCCTCTGGAAGCAGCCTGAGATAGACATGAAGCTCCGAGACACGGCACGAATATGGAAATCCGCTGGAACTATAACCACGAAGCTCTTAGCAAAATAACTTTTATACTCTAAACATTTTCTGAATATTGACACAATAAGAACAAAAGTTAAACTAAACATTCGGATGCCAACTCGTGAGTTTTATGCTGCAGAGTCCATAATAATTAAACTGAAATTATAAGGAATCAAAATTATTGAAGCACACAAAATTAGCAGTAAGATAAATTACTGAGACTTTACAACGGAATAAACGCGAAATGGCTGCGAATAGTACACTTGAACTTTTATTGCTACCTCAATTAAGTTTATTGGCATTAATGATATCTTTTTGTGTCTATGGTTCGACCCATCTAAGGAAGATAAGGGGTCGACGTTTTTAGCACAAAGCGCTTTCTGTTTCGGACCCTTTCTCGCAGGTTATTTGACTCGAAACGTGCCTTGGATGTACCTGTTTGCTAAGGCCACCTTTATCGAGGCGCGGGCAATATTTTGTTCAGATTATCTCTTAAAACGCCTTTATTCGTTTAACATTCAACTCTCTAACAGATGCAACGTCTTACTTTACAAATCACAATCACGCTTTTAAGACATTATGGACAAACATGGGTATTTATAAGATAAGACTCGAGAAAACGATTACTATAAATCAGATTGCTTCACACATTAACAAATGGACATTGGCTTTAGGAATTTTGTAACGTATTGTTTATTTGCATTATATTTAAACAATATTATTCTGCATTGTCAAATAAATGGTTTATGTTTATTACAAGGACAAAAACTGTGTACACTGAAACGCAATATTTTTACTTCATTTTAACCAAACAAATAAACATATCAATGAAAAGATTTATTTCTCAAAAATGTCAAATAATGAATTCGTTTATTTGCGGTGTTGACAGCCTTGAAGATACCACCACATTTTTAGTGAAAACTATTGTTTCTCCTGATATTTATTGAGGCAATATAGTAATTGCGGTAGGCTTCCATTGTCTAAAAGCAGCAGGCCCGAATACTGGTTTTATTGTGCTCCATAACTTTCAAAAGCTTTTTTCTGCGAGTTCGAGGTTCTATTCTAACCGTACATTGTTAATTTCTCTCCACGGCCGGGGCCTTTGTTTTTCTCTAGCCCTTTTCAGTAACAAGAATTCACACTACCGCATTCAAAATTTACGTTAAAAAGACTGACAATATTTTCGACAATGACACCGCACGGGTATCAGTTTTGGTTACTATTTCTTTCGAACTACTTTTGTCCTACTTTTGTGTCCTGCTGGCTTGTCTCAATTATTTCGTTGCTTCCGTTTGCAGAAGGAAGCTGCATTTATTGATTTTCATGTCGGATGTTTTATCTCCATTCCATAAAAACTTAGTAGGAAAAAGGACACAATATAAGCGAACGGTCAACTCACATGTATGCATAATGACGAGGAATTTTGTCCAACTCATTGATAATACGAGGTCAGTGCCTCAGGTGTTTATTGATTTTGTCATTATTTCGCTGCTTGTTGCTTTGTGAAATGCTGGGAACTACTTTATATTCAACGAGTTATCTTTTATCTTCTCATTAAGTGTCAATAAATTTTATTGTTCAAACAACTCTTCAAAAAACTCCTATACTCAATTTGAAGTACCCATTTAAAGTCAATCTATAATAGATTGAAAAACTCATAAATATTGAGAGATAAAGGGAGCCATTCTTTCACATAAAAGTTATATTGGACATAGTTCACCGATATCGGCTAATGTCAACATACTAGTTATGTAACCTTCCTGAGGGAAGGATCGCTAAGATATTTTCGGAGTCAGTTGTTACGAGATAAGTGGTAATATTGTGTTTGATGTCGCCTGGTAAATATTGGACCGTGACATGGGCACGTGAGATATTTACACTCAATATTGACTGTGAATATCAATAGTTTGGACAAAGATAACTATCTCGTGGCCTTGGTTCTAAAGACCTCCTTTCAATAGAATCACTATCTACAATATTTTTCATTATGACAACATTCCATCGAATTGACAATATTCGCGTTATGTTAAGGAAAGCGAAATAGTTTCTATATTTTATATTAAATTGAGATTGTTTTAACATGTTATCATGTTAACTTATTTTCCATAGTTATAGACAATAGATAAATTATTAATAATACAATAATTTTCTCTATAAAATTTATCGGTTTGAAGAAAAATGGATAGGATATTTCGATAATTGGGTAGAAACATCTATTTATAATTCAAATGTATTCTCAATCATAAGTCCATTGAAATGTTTTTGATTATTGATAGTTTATAATGCATAGGCAACCTTTAATTCCTATTGTACAGCGATATATCTAACTATATAAAAGAATAAGAGAATTCTTTCACTGTTTATATGTATTGACATACAGTGTACAGACAAAAGCTTAAGAGGGCCAGTCTTCTCCCACGGTAGACGCGATTTGATACGCACGTGTTTGAGCATCCGATGCTCCACGATTAAACCTCGCGATGATGCACGAAGAAGGCACCGCCATTCAGTGAACGTGTTTTTGTGACTAACTATTCGTTAGTCCAGTCTGGGAGAAATTCGGTGACGCGTTTTGACGGAAGATAACTGTGAACTTCTTGCTTCAATCCAGTAAGTACGGCACGACCGACGCACAAAAGTTGAATAACTCGTCCAATCACGCTTGATAGTTCGTATTCTTGAGTATCTGCAATAATTGGTGTGTTTTCATTGTGTTCTTGGGAGCTTACCACATTATTACCTTGTATATGTGATTGAACATATGGGTATATTTTTAAATAAAACTTAATAATCTGATAGTATCTTAACCATCCATACCAATAGTATAAATGCGAGTGTGTCTGTCTTTTACCTCTTCACGCTCAAGCCGCTGAACAGATTTTGATGAAGTTTGGTATAGAGATTCAGTTTGAATCCTGGGAAAGAATATAGGATGGTTTTTGTTCCAGAAATCATCCTTAAAGGGATAAAAGGGCTGTGAAAAGGGGTAGAAGTTTCTATGGAAATCGCAGAAAGTCACGAGCTACCGCCCGCGACCTTATCTGCGTGGAACATTGGAAAACCTTATAATGTGTAATATTAAAAAGGTTCATGAAATTTCCGGTAAATTAAATGATAATTAATCTGATAAATATTGATTTAATGTCATATCCCAGATTTAAAATGTTACCTACAGAAGACCAGGTAAGATTGGTAAAAGTACCTAGTTTTGGCTAATTTTGTTTTTTTTATTCAAAGATTATGATGATTGTTATTAAGATGCTTGTATTACTAGAAATAAATTACTGTCTCGGTAAGCTTTTTTTCACTTAATTTTTATTATTAACGCTAAGCAACTGTTCTTACTTTTTCATCTTTTATAAAAGTTTAAGGCACAAAAGCTTTATTTGAAGTGTACCTCATGTGAAGTATTGTCAGTTAACACTTCTTTTGTTACTGTCAATCACAAATCTGGGTAAATCAAAACGTCCGCCCCCTTTCGCAGACTTAAATAAAAAAATATATCATTGAACCCTTATACTGTTTCCGTATGTATTTAATAATAATAATGTTTTATTACTCTTTTATTCGTATGACATAACACGAGAAAATTAAACCATTAAAATGTGATTACATATTTAATACGAGATTATTTGACAGCATTATGTAGGGTACTAATACTGAACTGTGTCTATGACTATAAAGTAAAGATGTTTAGGTTTCAGTAAAAATGCATAACATAGAGTTTAACTGTATCTATATTTACTAAAACCATTAATCAATGTGAAAACAATATCTTGCAATATCAATAATATGACTAACTAATACTATTATTTAATGGTTTAATTTGTTTGACTTTAAATATATGTGTGTATGTGTAAATTTAAACCACAATCACTATTACTTTAAACAGTCATTATTTTAAATGTTTTTTTTATTTATTACAATGATGCATGTATTTCACCAAAACAACTTTGATTTGTTTATTCTGCATGCAAAATAAATCAAAGTGAGTTTCGGCCTTTGGCCTTTACTCCACAGTTCAGATGCGACCTCCTTTGAGATGAAATGTGAGTAGATGCAACCAAACCATCACGCAGGCTTAAAAGTCTTCTGCGCGCCATAACCAATATGTTTCGAACATTCAAAAAACTCGCGTGCCATCTGTTGTGAGCGATGCAGCGCGGGGACCCACCCGTCATTGTGACCCGCCTCGCCCCGCGCTCACACCCCTCCCCACACCCATGCGGCTTTCGTTCGTTCAAACTTACGTAGGTCAGTTACCGCCCGACCGCAGGGGAGCATGGCTGCGTCAAAAGTTTTACCGCGATCCCGCACTTAATGTTTACATTCGTTATAGACGAAGTGTACACAACAACTTAGACCGCTACAAATAGACTGTTTAGTGATTAAAAAAGTTTGTTCACGAACAATTAGTGATATATCAGTGACAAATGAACTAATATTGTGACAAAATGACCATAAACTTATATGGAATGGTTTCGTTAAAAGTTTGGATGTGCTTACTCGTGGTGGTCGGTGCGCGCGCACGTTCCGCGCCGCCCGCCCCCGCCGGCTGTCAATGGGACTATTCGGACGCAAAGTTGAGTGAATCTAACTTTCTCACGTGTAACATCAAAACCATTGGCTCTGCAGACTTCTTGTTTAAAAACATTACCACCGCGCAGGCGTACAACATCAACAAGTTAAAGTTGACATGCACCGATTTGTTGTTCTTCGAGAGTTCATTACATATGAATACCGGTAGTTTCTTAGGGCAACTGCGGAAGCTTGAAGATTTAAGCATCGAATACTGCAAGATACGTTACGTACCGGCTACGGTTTTATCTCCGCTGCGTGATTTAACTAGTTTAACGCTACGATCATATAATACGGATTGGCCTGCAATGACAATGGAGTTTCATGCTGAAAGTTTTCGCGGTTTAATGGAACTGAGATCCCTAGATTTGGGAGATAACAACATTTATACACTTCCGTCCGAAGTATTTTGCCCACTGTTTAGTCTGGAATCATTGAATCTCACTAACAACAGAATTCAGGACATATCCGATATTGGCTTTTCTGATTGGGGAAAAGGACCGATTGCTCCAGGTAAATCCTGTAACACTGGACTTAAAATGCTTGATTTATCACATAACAATATATTACGTTTACCAGACAATGGCCTTTCTAGTCTTAGGTCTTTGGAAGTCTTGAAAATTCAGAATAACTTAATTAATGAGATAGGCGATAGAGCCTTTGTTGGTTTGAATTCATTAAAAATCTTGAACTTATCCGGAAATAAATTAGTGGCTGTCCCTCCTGAACTATTTCAATCGTCGAGAGTAATAAAGGAAATCTCATTAGCTAACAATTCTTTGACTGTGCTAGCTCCTGGATTACTAGAAGGACTCGACCAACTTGAAAAATTAGATTTATCCAGAAACAGTCTAACTAATGATTGGGTTAACCGAGATACTTTTGCTGGACTTATTAGATTAGTTATTCTCAATCTTTCTTACAACGCATTAGCACGCCTGGATCCTAAATCATTTCAAGATTTATACGCGTTGCAAGTATTAAATTTAGATAATAATGCAATCGAGACGGTAAGCAACGGCGCTTTTGCAGAACTTAAAAATCTTCACCAGTTATCGATATCTGATAATAAGATTAAAACATTGAACGAGCACATTTTCTCGAATTTGTTTGTTTTAAGTCAACTTTATTTAGATAACAATCAGATATCTACAATACATGAAAGATGTTTTGAAAACATAACATACTTACAAGATCTAGGATTGAATGGAAATAACTTAAATATGGTTCCTGAAAGTATCAAGAAGCTCCGCTTTCTGAAATCACTTGATATTGGCAAGAATAACATTGCTAAAGTAAGCAACACTTCTTTTGAAGGTTTAGAAGAACTTTATGGCCTACGTCTCGTTGACAATCATATCACCAGTATACCTAAAGATACTTTTAGTACTTTGCCTTCATTACAGGTACTAAATTTAGCTTCTAATAGAATAGAAACTATTGAACAAGACGCTTTCTTATCGAACCCAACTTTAAAAGCAATACGTTTAGATGGGAATAAGTTGACAGATATTCGAGGAGTTTTTGATAAATTGAATACCCTTGGTTGGTTAAATATATCGGACAACAAATTGATTTATTTTGATTATAGTTATATGCCTGAAAATCTTGAATGGTTAGATATACACAACAATAACATAACTAAACTAGAAAATGAACGTAACACGCAACAAAATATTCGAATGCTCGACGTAAGCTACAATGCTTTAGAAAACGTCGATGAACGGTCGATACCTGACTCAATAGAGATCCTTTTCTTAAATAACAACAAAATTCACACAATTCATCCAGGTACCTTCATACAAAAAAGAAACTTAGAAAAGGTTGTCATGTCAGATAATAAATTGAGAACTATCGAACTCTCGGCGTTTACTTTGCCCCACATACCGAAACACAGATTGTTGCCAAAGTTCTTTATTGGAAATAATCCATTTGTCTGCAACTGTCATATGATTTGGTTGCAAAAAATAAATCTTTGGAATCACATGAGGCAATACCCACGTTTCATAGATTTGGAAACTGTTACGTGCGAAGTCGTGAGTAATAAATATGGAGGAAAGGCAAATCTAATGGATGTCCCTGAGAGTCAATTTTTATGCTCATATGAAACTCATTGTTCTTCGAGTTGCTTTTGTTGTGATTTTGAAGCATGCGATTGCAAAATGACATGTCCTGAAGGATGCTCATGTTTTCACGATAGTAACTGGAATTCAAATGTGATTGATTGTTCAGGAGCAGGCTATACTGATATACCCGAGAAGATTCCAATGGATGCCACTGAACTTTATCTAGATGGCAATGACTTTGGCTCCTTGAGTAGTCACTTGTTTATTGGAAAAAAGAAGTTACACAAGCTTTACTTGAACAACAGTAACATCGCTACTATTGACAATGATACTCTAAACGGTCTCCATTCCTTGAATGTTCTTCACCTTGAAAACAATCACTTGACTGAGTTGTCTGGGGGTGAATTCTCTCAGTTGAAACACTTGAGGGAGTTATATTTAAATGATAACCTCTTAACAAGTGTCGCAAACAAGACTTTTGAGAACCTCTCATCTTTACGAGTTGCACACTTACAAGGCAATAAGATTCTCGACGTTGACAAAAAGTTAACACACATGATCCATTTAGAAAATATCAACGTTCGAGGAAATATTTTTACCTGCAACTGCGATAACGTATTACTACTACAAAACTGGTTTAAGAAGAATTACGAAGATCCCGCAGACATGTTTTGTGCAGATGAAAATGGACTTACTTCAAATATGACTGTATTTGATGTGATTGATAAGTGTCATGATTCAAGTGTTTTGGACAATACTATTCCAACTGAAAATCAACTGTATCAATATGATGAAGTGACTACGATAAAACTTAACTTTGTACCTCTGTTAGCTGTAGTTCTTATAAGTGTAATTTTGATATTGTTGTTTGGTGCCTTAGCATTTTCATTTAGACAAAATGTCCGCCTTTGGGCGCATTCTAAATATGGGGTGCGATTGTTTAAGAGTGCTTCAATTCAAGAAAGTGAGCTTGATAGAGATAGGTTGTATGACGGATATGCTGTATATAGTTTATTGGATGACGATTTTGTAACTAAAGTTGTCGCCCCTGAAATGGAACAATCAGGTTATACGATGTGTTTCCATTACAGGGACTTACAACAGGCTCATGAAAATTACTTGGCAGATCAAATAACAAACGCCGCTGAATCATCAAAGAGAATATTAATGTTTGTATCTTTCAACTTTTTACAAAACGAGTGGTCGAAAATTACTTTTAAAACAGCCATAAAACATGTTATAACTTCAATTCATCCTTCCATAAGACGTCATAGAGTAGTTTTTATTTTGACCACTGACGTAAGTGCTCTAAATTTGGATGCAGATTTTCAAAATTATTTAAAAACATGTAACGTACTTATATGGAATGAGAAAAAGTTTTGGGAAAAAATTAGATTTGTGATGCCTGATATATCTAATTTGCAATGGAATAAAGACGCTATAAATTATAACCATGCAGTGTGTCCAAATGCGCGAAGACACCCTTCGAGGTATACGGCGTCGCCAACTGCGCCTGAGCATTGGTATAAATATGATGCTATACCGCCACAAACACCAACGGCAAATACCGTAATAAATATCGAAGATGACACTTCAATGTTGACAAATACAACGTTGACGAGTCAGATTCCTGATGGCGAAAACTTACATCATAGTTACATATCTATCGATACACAAAATTACGAACAGCCGTATGGCGGTCGGCCTAGACCGCCGAATACGCTTCGCAAGCATCCCGGACACCACTCCCCTTCCATGTTAGACGAACAAGGTTACTTACAGCCTCGTTCGTCAGTACATGAGTGCTTACCACAAACCCATTCAACCGTGCATAGATGATAAGGCAGCTCAAGTCTATTTTTATCTCTGTAAAATATATTTTAATGGATCGTCACATTCCAGACACATGTGTAGGCTGCTTTTTTTGTTGCCTTGCCTTATTAAAAAGTGATAATTTTACAAGAAATATCGGTTAACATTTCGGCCAAATGTAATGACTTGTTCCTTTGTAGATAACAGAAATTGTCATGCATGTTACTAAGAGACTGTATCTATTGTTAAAATATATTGTAAAAACTCTTAGTATTAGGATGAAGCCTTATAAATCATAATGTAATGCGTGTAGAAAATAATTTATTATGAAAAAAACCAAGAATTACGATTTATTGCTGTCCATTAAGACTGACATAATTATGTACTAAAATGTTAAGAGTTATCGCCAGTATCATTGAGTCTAAGCTTATATACATAAGTATTTTCGTATAGTATATTATCTCATTGTTACCAAATATTTTGTAGATACTGTGACTAATCAATGTTATAAATAATTATTTCTGTATAGTTTTACTAGTCATTAGTTAGTAAATGATAGTGTTGAAATGTAAATAATTTGGTTACATGGTTTGTGATGTAAAAAATGATCATCAACTATGTAACCGACTCTACCTATTGTAAAATATTATATAATTGTATAAAAATTGACTGTTAAACAAATGAAAATTAAACATATTAAACAATATAATTTCTTTACATTTATCTCCTATTACAATAATTATTCGTATTAAGTTCTTAAAACGTAATTTGACCAAACCTGACCTGACCAAGAGATGATTTCTGAAGTAACCCCTAACCACATAATTAGTTTGTTTTTAAAAAGCGGTGATGCTTTACTACCTTTTTGTTTACCGCCAAAGATAACAAAAACTGTGGCCATTGTATAAAAACCAAATGGCGGTTCATAACAGTTAGCTTCGTTGTTTCCAGATCACAGTTTATTGGGAAACGAGAAAAGCTGTACTCCTAACAAAAAAAGGCCAAAAATAATTTCGGCTTGCCGACAATCATCGTAAGCCATAATGATGGTCCTTTCCAGGTAGAAAACGCTCCCAAGTCATATTTCAACCGTCAGGACTGCGCTATGGTAGCTATAAAAGAGATTTACAATATATTGTGCATTCGAGGCTAGTTAGATGCGTATTTATGTGACCTTCTGTCGGACATGGTCCGAGGAGTATTTATTGTTTTTTTTTTGTTATACTTTCTAAAGTGCGAGCTTCGACGCGAACGACATATGGTGTGACATATTTTAAAGGCCCGCTGACCGACTGGCTTATAGTTTCTTGATGGAGTCCACTCGAGTGTTGCATTCAGGCAACTGCCACTGTTTACTTTTCAACTTTTAATTAATATTGAATGCTCTTTTTATTACCTGTGAGATGACTTGAATTTCTTTTTGCGTGAAGAATACAACACCTGTCTGTGATTGCTTTAGTTTATTTAGAAAACTTATATTTAAAATATTTGAATTGAGTTCTTAAGCAAATAAATAAAACGGTTTAAAAGTATCATATATAGGTAAGTATTTTAATACATTTTGTGACATGGTATTTATATTTAATGATTTCAATTTGCACTTAAAATAACCTACTGTTATATAGAATCTTAATAATTACCAACTTTTTTTACATGCCTTTTAATAGGTGTGTCTGCAACTGAAAATTATTATACATTTTACAATTAAAATTTGTTAAAGAAAAAAATAAACTTCAATTTTATATTTTTATTATAATGCCACAAAGTAACCTCTATATTATTAATAACATTTCTGTGCCAAATATTTGCGGGTATTTAGCTATATTTTTTAAATTTAACCGTCCAAAGTATATTTATCTGGGGTTTATCTGCTGCTTGAACAATTTGTCCGAACAATTTCGAATCATGGATTCAAACACACTATGAGTTTTGGTAAAATAAAAAACGCCTAACTTGACGTTTTTTTTAGGTGATCTTGGATCTGTGAAATTGCCTTAGGTACTAATGAAATTGCTTTGTTATCCATATGACGTAAAGACAATGAACGTTAATACCTATTCATAATGATGGTAAGAGCCAAAATATATCTGAAATGAATACTCTTCCAAATCATACACAACAACCGATAAATACAATATGTATATATGTAACTAGCTGACCCAGCGAACTTCGTACCGCCCTAAAAAAATAGGGGTTGTCCAGCGGACAAAATTGTGAATCTAAACCATTCTCAGATCCCCTTGAACACACACAAAAAATTTCATCAAAATCGGTCCAGTCGTTTAAGAGAAGTTCAGTGACATACACACTCACAGAAGAATTATATATATAAAGATAATAATATAATTCAGTAAAACACTTTAAAAGGTGTCAACAATTTTATTTTTCTGTAACTTTCTTTTGTTTGACGGTATCGACCATAATTTTAAAATTGACGTTACTTTTGTAAACAATAATTGAATTTAATATTTGGTTCCTTTTGCCTGCTGATGTCCGCTGTGTATCCCCACTTCCTGAAAAAAGAAATTATTTGAGCATTTAACTGCGAAATTTAAAAAAATCTTGAATTTCACTAGAAAAAAGTCTCAGGTAAGTTCCGATCCTACTTAAAACATTTTCATGTAAAATATTGCCCAGACAAGACCATATGACTCTCACTATTAAAATGTTATCAGATCTCATGTAGAGCCAAGTTTCTAACTCTACACGCCCAAACTCTACAAGATCTAACTTCACAAACTCTAAAGTTCTTGTAGTAATGAAACGCCCAAGTCACATAATTTTAACACAGACGTAGAGTTTGCGTAGTTACCTCGTCTTGTCATCTTGGCGGGCGCACTACTGTGCCCCCAGATAAAAAGTCTTTATCCAAGATTCCTTCGTGGAAATTTGTTTTCTTTGGAGGTTTGTTTTCTTTCCAGTGCTGATAGTAAAAATACCCAAAACTGTCTAAATACCCGGAATTGTCAAATTACACTTTATTACTTTGAAATATAAGAAACACAAACTCTTTTGAAAATTTGTCAGTTTGCGGCAACTGTGGCTGTCTGTTGATTGATTGTCTGCTGATGATAAAGGGCATATGCGTGAAGGTGTAAGTTACACATAGAAAATTCCACCTGAAAAATGTGACGATAATTATCCTACTTACTCCACGCCCAGACACAATAGTAACAAGTTAATAACACATTTTCTGACACTAGCATTTTACATCATACTGATATTATAGCAATAAAAATAAAAAAGCATCAAATGAATTCAAATGTGAGCGGCCGTTAGGGAATAAAGTACAAGAAAATAAGAGTTTCAACGATTTCATCATGTTCACTTTAAGTATGTGAGATAATTAATAGCGTTAAATAAAATCACGCCCCAGCCTCACACTCAGTAAACCTCTCGTTATTGAGTAAGAAGTTTGAATGCCAGTTAATAAATAAAATAAACAACAAGACCTCACTGAATACGTCGATGTGGACATATCTGACGAGGCATAACTAGTCAACCACAGTAAGATTAATGAAGTGAAAGCGACTATTAGGCGGTCGATGTTCAAAACAAAATTCGAATTGAGTAAGTAATTGTTGAACAAAATTTTATTGGATGCTGTAACGCTATGTAATTTATCAATTACTACTCGTTTGTAGGTATGAAAGGTAAGAGTAGTTAAAAATGAACCTATTAATGTTTGACTATTGAACATTCTCGATGCTACAAGTCTCGGAATATTTGTGGGTGAATCATAATCGTATTGTAGCTTTAATTCTTGAATAATAAAGTAATTATAATAAAAGACAATTGACTGTTCTATTAAATAAGGGAATTTCTTTTCCAATAGACTAACTGATAGTAAGCCTTCGCTGGTGTTATTTTTTCCCATTACTTGAACTTTATCAAAATTTATATAACATCCTCGCAATTGATAGACAGCAGTATTGATAATTAGTAGTAGGTTTATTAAATCTAAGAGAAAAAAAATAAAATTGCATATTTTCTAAATGACAAACAATTCTACTTTCTTTTAACCATTTTCATTACCAGAACTTCCTAGTTATGTATAGTATTCTCGTATTTTTTTCAAATAATGTATTTATAAATGTTTGTGGTTTTAATACAACCTTGACAAGGGCATATAGGGTACTCACTATACAATTTTAAAAGTAAGTCTTGATGTCTCCCCAGCCTCGTGCCACGCGCAGTGTAGAGTCTTCATTTTCTAATACAGAAACTTGAATAAAAAATGGTTGCCTGTAAAGTCGGTTTTACGGGCGAAGATTTTACGTGACAACGTCTTTTTCTCGGTAGAATATTTATTGATATGAATATAATTAAATTGCACAATAGGAACAAGGAATTGAATGAAAATAAGAATTGCACAAATTTTAACTATAGAAATATATTTTGTTTACTAAAACATTGTACATGTAAACTTAAACTTAACACGAGAGACTCATCGTAACGTTACCGAGCGTTACACTTTTTCATAAGTGACTCCCAGCCGCAACCTAATTTAAGACGTTGTCACGTCAAAAAATTAATATCAATCTATGTATCTATACAAAAATACCTAAATCAAGGTCAAACTGCGTCTTAAACTCAAAATAAATTCGATATTTTTTTTAAATACGAATGATAAACTTAGATTTTATTTTTGTTTTCTCCCAGGCAGGGGAACAGGTGTGAAATCCTCATGGATGCCCTACAGCCCGCTGCAAGGTTATGTCAGACTCTGTCTAAAAGCTTCATCTAAAGCGATCATCCCCG